CTCGTGTTTCATTCTACAGGGCCGAGATTTGCTTCAGAGGTAGAAAATCCCATCTAACGAAAAACAAAAAGAACGATTTTGTCCTAACTTCGTTGTTTGTGAGTTACAGTTGCTCAAACTTTGTGATTTAGCCTCTTGGAGAATTTTTCAGGCGGCACTGGGGAAAGCAGGAGCAACCAAACTCTCTTAGTCTCTTTTAAATATCTAGAAAAATTTTCTGTGCCAACTCTTTCTTGGAATAGAGCTTCAGATGCTAAAATAAATTTCAGCTTTTCTTCTTTCTCCTACCCATGTGCCATGATTTAGCTAGTTAGTTGTTGACCACACCCATAGCTTATTTTAATTATCATTATAACTATGCAGTCCATAATAATAATTTTTTTCAAATTGCTTAAAATATCACAGTACAAGTAATACATATCACTCAAGTGAATTCCAGCAGGCGAGTCCATTGCACCATAGTGCTTCATGTTCCAAATGCACTTTAGTTGTTGCTGATTCAAAACTAGTACCAAAAGCTTCTTGTGTAAACTGACTGGATTCAGTTGTTAGTAAATTTTTTGCTAGATTTGATGCATCATCCTGTGACATAAAAATTAGAAATAAACTATGTAAACAATTAAACTAACTGTTTCACTTTCTGTTACTTTTTGGTGCAGCAACTGCCCAGTCTCATCTAGTAACAATAATCAGATATTTTTGCAGTGTTTCATACCTGACTTTTGCTTTGAAATTTCATTTTCCATTGTTTTGACACTCTGCATTTTATTTTTTAATTCCTGCAATAGAAAGGAAATAAAACTTGCACTTCAATATATAGCAGTCATACCTCATTTAAAGTAGTAACCTCCTCTGTACTATTAATCAATTGTACACTCAATGACAGTATCAATTGCTTTGATAAACCACTACTAATTGATAGCAATTGCTTTTCATCTATAATGTAATAATATAAATCACATTAAAATGGACTATTATAATTACAGGATAGAGTAGGGGTGTCAACTGTTTCTGTTGCCTGTTAAAATTTAAATTTAGCAATAAATATATTTATAGTCTATTTACCTCATACACAGTGCAGTATCCAATGGTTAATCTCTTCACTTTGTTTTTTTTCAATACATCAATATTATTACGAGCAGCTACAATTAACTGCTCTGATAGAATCAAAGGGAATGAATAGGTAATAGTGAAGGAATTGTCATCTCTAATGACATTTAACTTGACACTTCTGCTATTTTGTGGTGATAATTTATGAAAAGTATTAGCTGCTAGTCTCCTGATATCATGCAGTGTGCAATCATCGGTATTTTGATCAACAACAATGGTGATCCTTTCACATTGAAGTGGTGAAGCATATGAAAACTTTTCGTTCAGGCACTTACTAAGTTCTGTTTCGCTAAACTTCTCTAAAGCATCGCTATATTCCTGAATAACTACCTTGGCACTTTCTATATTGAGCTCATTAACAATAGCTTTCAGCATTTCTATGTCATCTAGCGAACAATCTTTCCTAACCAATTTTAAAATGTCGTGAATATTGTCACACTGAGCTACTTGTGGCTTCAAATCTTCACTGCAATAGATTAATATATTCTTAATTTTTTTAAGTGTCGAAGGAGGACATTCTTTAATGATCAATTCAACTCGATCAAATGTGGAACCAAGCTGCACTTGCATTGACTTGAACTTTGAAGTTAAAGATGGTGGAAGATGAATTTTATCTTTAGCTGTTTTGTTTGAATGAAAGTGAATGCAACAATGTTAAACTATACTTACCAAGATCATCATTACCTTTATGATGATAATAAACTTTTCCTACAGGGAAATAAAAAAGCTACACTATTATGCTAGAAATATTTACTGTATTCTCTCTCGATGGCATTTCCTATCTCCATTGTTGCTTTCTTTTTAATTAATATTGCAGCAAACTTCTCTAGCTTTTTAAAATCAAGACAAACAGCTTTTAGAATTTCAATCATTAGCGTTTCTCCATCTTTTTCAGTATGTGCTATCTCTTTTATTAGCTCCTCTGAATGCAACAATGCAGTCAACTGAGGTAATGCAGCAATGAGAAATTTATTTGAAGTACATGCATGATCAGCAAGAATTTTACAAGCAGGATGCTCTAAAGAATAATAAACAATATTCTTTAATGTAATTATTATACACTTACTCTCCATATCTATTCCATCAGCTACTGCATTCTCTCCTAATTCCCTCAATGCTGATACTAATGAAGAGATAGTAGGACCACCTTTCTTCTGTACACCATCATCTTTCTGTAACCATTTGGTAAGACATTCACGCAGACAGCTCTTAGTATCTCCTTTATTATCCCTTGTAATAATTGCGAGTGTAGCAGGAGATAGACCAAGATAAAGACCAAGAGTATAGTAATTGACTCCTGAAAAATCATGTCTACTGAGTAATTGAAGTACATCAGCAAGATCAGTAACTATAACACATTTTTTAATATGTAGAAAAATAAGTAACTAAAGTACCTTTCAGTTGATTTGCAGTTTCTGCTGGCTCAGGAGAAGCAGGGGGAGAAGCCATTGAGCTAAAGTCAATTTAAGACTAAGCTTGTAAAGCAACTGTAAACAAGTAATAAAAATTGCTTTATAAATATAGAACTAAAACCACAATGAGAGAGATAATATTATTCATGAAAGCATATTCACGATGCAGCTATAACTAGGTCATTCCTCTATCACAAAATTATTGTAAAGTGAAGTTAAAAGCATGTATGTATAATATGTAGGCATGTATTTAATTTAATTTAGTTAAAGATTTTACAAAATGAACAGAGGTATAAAGCACAAATAAAGGAGACACCTTGACAAGATATCTGCAAGAGCTGTGTCACAATATATTAAGCAAAGAGATACAGATCAAGGAAAGGCAGAGAAAGGTAAAAAGGGAGAGAGTATGCGGAAGAAAGATAGAGTCATATGGAGAGTGTCAGTCATAGGCTCGTAGCCTGACTGTCCTGACACTGACAGCATTTCATTTAATGGACTGGTATTCTGGTCTTTGATCAGATGCTTGAGAAAGAGGAAAAGGGTTTTAATTTCATAATAAATGTTGATAAAGATAAAATACATCTAAAGAATAATTTGAATGTAGACAGCTTAGTATCAAGTAGTTATAGCTAGTTATTTATGTCTATGTACAAATTAAAGCCTAAAGCTCATGAAAAGGAACATGCATTGGCACTATAAAATGATAGTTGATTATATTGTAATATGATTCATAGTAAATACTGATTGTGTGGTACTGCTTGTGTGGTTACCTATCCCATATCATGTGATGGTTATACTTGTATCCATAACAGACCCACCCATCTTGTAATGAGAGTTATATGAAGCAGGGGCGTAGCTGGACCTTAGGTGATGGTAGGGCAAGGAGACAAAATGGCACGCGAAGCTCGCCGCAATTTTGGCTACACCCCTTTTACGTAATAAAATGGAAGCATTTTCCTGCAAGCTGAGCGAAATCAGAGTGAAATTATCATTGTAATAGCTTTAAAAAGAGCTGTGGTTATCAGCCACCCCCTTTTGTTATTGTAAGAACAATGAATATAATCTTTTGGGTTATAATTTCAATGAATATAATTATAAGGCCACTTTGATGGTAGGGCCCAGGCCCCCTCAGGCCCTACCTCAGCTACGCCCCTGATATGAAGGAATGCTTTGGGTGGGATGTTTTTCAAGGAAACTGTTTTGATCATGTATACCATTGAAATACTTTGATATTGTTCTTATGTTGATGCAGGAAATAAACAATATGACTAAGCAAAAAATATGAGATAGATCATGCGATTTTCATATAATCATAAACATACCTCAATATCATAAACTAATGGCTATACATTAGTTACTTACTAAATGAAAGGTTCTTTTCCTGTTTTTATAGCTGTGTCTGAATAGTTTGGATTTTGCGGATAGTTATAAATCTATTCTATAGCATAGTAGATTTTAGGGCTGCATGATATGTTTTCCATAAAGATGCGGCTGATATCTATATGAATCCTTATAATTCAACACTGGCTTCCATATTACAGTCCTACCTCAACCTTGTGCAACTATCATTTAACTTCCCCTTTCTATGGCACATCGTCACTTAATTTAAGGTCAAACTTATCAATTGATAAAGTACAACAGTTGCAGATTCTATACCTAGCAATTATACATGCATATTTCTAGATGATGGGCTTTATGCATGTATTGTTGTTGGACCAAAATTGTACGCCTTTACTTCATGCACAATTAATTGGAAACTATAGCTGTTGTAGGACAAAGAGTTCCATGACTCTCCAGCCTATGACCTCTCATAGCTAAATGTACACATGTATATAGTGCTGCTGTAGAAATTAATATATCTGTCTCTTGGCAGAGATTACTTCTTCACACCTATAGCCATCGAAACCCTAGGAGCCATAGGCCCGGCATCTTTGAAATTCCTCAAAGAGCTCAGCTTCAGAATTTGTGAGTATTCTGGTGAGGTCTCGTCATTTGCATATTT